TGTGTGTGTGTGTGTGTGTGTGTATGTGTGCGTGTGTGTGTGTGACACCTAGTGGGAAAATTAATCAATCTTTCTAAGACGCTCAGAACTACTGGTCCTCAGTTTGTGAGTCTTTTTACTCGGTCCTCAGTCTGAGTTACATACAAGAATGTGTGTGTGTGTGTGTGAGTGTGAATCAGTATGAAGTAAAAACCTTGTTCGCCCATAAAATGAGGAGAAAGAAGCAACTTTTCTGTCTGCATTCAGAAGTTCACAGCAGGTGGAGGAGTTTAAATAAGACTTTTGACTTGACTTTTCTCAGTAGAGAAGCAAATTGGTGGCCAAAGGTGCAAATGTCCGAATCTGTGTGTGCCGTTCTGGTTTAAGCATCTGGATCTCATGTGTCTCAGCAGGTGTGTCTAGGGTTGTCAAAAGTATCGATACTAAAATGTTGTATCCGGATACGATACTCATTTTCAAAAGTATCTATACCACCCCCCCTCTCTGATTTATTTATGTATTTATTTACGTTGTTTATGATCATTAACAAGACGTTAGCCTTCAACTGCTAGCTGCAGCTAATGGCTAATAATAACACGCCAACATTAATCAAGTGCATATCCAACTCCGCCCACATCCAAGTCGGCCATTTTGATTACGTCACCAATAGGGAGATCCCAGGCAAGAAAATGGTAAATTAATCAATTAAAAGGAATCCTTCAAACCCCCTAATTAAACTCTAGACATAATATTATGTTAAAATAGTGGATGTTAAATAGGTTTGTACAATAAGTCCAAACAAGTTTAACCAAAAAATATTTATTTCTCACAATTATGAAGGGTGGAAGGTTAGGGTTAGGGTTAGGGTCAGGTTTAGGGTTACGTTTAGGGTTAGGGTTAGGGTTAGGGTTAGGGTCAGGGTCAGGGTTAGGGTCATTAATTGGGCCACCATAACATCAGTAACAGGTCAGTTTGAAACCAAAGACACTAACCTGTCAAAATTCAGTTAAATTTTGGGGTCTTTGTTTTTATCCTTGTGGTATCAAACATGGTATCGAATATTTTCCTGAGTATCGGTATCGAGTTGAACATTTTAGTATCGTGACAACCGTAGGTGTGTCTTTCTTCTGCTCTTTGTTTCTCTACTGTTCGGCCGGGACCCGACCTGATAGTTTGTGGTTTCACAGACGAACACGTTGACTTTGCGATCGGCCCGTTTAAGTCGGAGTTTGAACAGGCGCACAATGGGGCCGGCCCAGTTCCCACGGGGGCCCCGCTCTGTTTGGACGGGCCCCATCGGCCTGTGGAGCAACCTGAGCAACCTTTGGTCTCTTTTCAGTCGGTGTTTACACAATACATTTTCGTTCAAATATGAGGACGGCTTTGTTTCCGCCCCTCTGAAGCCACTGTGGGGCTGATCTCTGATCTGTGGGCTGCAGACAAAAAAAGAGTTTTTTTTTTTTTTTCCTCCGTTTGGAGGGAGAAAACTGTTAGCCCGATTCTTTAGCTGGAAGCCTGAGAATAAACCAGAGTAGATCAAGAGTACAAATACAGTGAGGGAAATAAGTATTTGACCCCTTGCTGATTTTGCAGGTTTGCCCACTTACAAAGAATGCTTATATTTCCTCATCAGATGGTTATCAATTTTTATAAATTCATATGATGTGATTTTCTGGAATTTTCTTTGGGATTCTGTCTTTCACTGTTAGAATGTACATATGATTAAAGTTATAGATCGTTGCATTCTTTGTAAGTGGGTAAACCTGCTAAATCAGCAAGGGGTCAAATACTTATTTCCCCCACTGTATGACATTTATTGGTCACAAGCAGAGTTAATCAGCTGGGCTCTAACAGACAGAACCTTCATTTGGCTATTCAACAAAATATGAAACAAAAAAACAAAAAATCAAGAAACAGGAAATCAATAGTGAAAATGACTGTAGGCATTCTCACAATAAGACAATCAGTTGTTTCCATGGATTAAATTCTAACATACTGTGCTAAAGTGAGTAATTATAGCCCCATGCTAACAAACCACAGCGGGGTACACTTCCTTGTCTCTAACCCGCCGTTCGTGTTTTCTCTGCTTCTTCCTCCAGGTGAAGGTCCCGACTCGCGTGGGTCAGATTTACGTGTACGACACGCTGAAGGGGGACCAGGACGAGTACGACGTGCCGCCCAGACACCAGCCTCCATCCCAGCAGGACATTTACGACGTACCGCCCACCCGCCAGCAGTTCAGCACACAGGTCTGACCTCTGACCTCTGGACTCACTGTGGAACACATCTTTAGATGCCCAGTTTAAACGGGACATATCATGCAAAACCAAGTTTTTAACTCATTGACTGCCAGCCATTTTCACAACAGAGAGTCCCATACTGCCAGAGTTTTTTGAGCATTTTGACCGATTTTTCAAGAGCCACAGAATAGTTTGTGCTATGACTATGTAAACACCGAGCACACCAAAAGAAAGAGTAGACTCTCTTCTTTCATCAGGAAAAAAAATGTGTTTCTACCTTATTCCGTTCTTCCTCGACTTGCGTCTCACCGGCGACATATTCTCTCATAGCAAACCGTTCCCTTTTTCTTATTTGCTTACAGTCTATGCTCATCTCCCATCAAAAGTGGCACTGCCCCCTAGAGGGTCAATTTGTTACTACATACTCTGTCTAGAAGCCTGATATTTACAGACAAGCTTTAGCAGATCGTCCCCCAGACACTCTCGGTGAAAAACATAAAAGACGTTTATAGACGTCTTTGGCAGCCAATGAGTTAATCATGTGATTGTGTACATTTGGGACTGTGGAGGGCCTATCAGCAGGGAAAGTGTGAAAAAAATGACTGGGTCATGTGTTTGTGGGCCGCCTCAGTCTGAATCCAGGAGATAAATCAGGAGGTTTCAGGAGTGGGTAGTTTCTGACGTCATTAGCTCTAGCTCATTATAATATTCCAGCCTTTCACCTGCATGTTGCCCCCCCCCCTCAGCTTACTCCCCTATCTGTGGAGACGTGTGGTAGCGTTAGCATGGTAGCGTTAGCATGGTAGTGTTAGCGTGGTAGCGTTAGCGTGCCGACGTGGGCACGCCTCCCGGAAGAAGTGGGTGGATTGCCTGTGTCTCATTTGCATTTAAAGAGACAGGCACTCCAAAGCGAGCGCTCTGAACGGGGCTGTTTTGGGTTAGGGTTAGGGTTAGGGTTAGGGTTAGGGTTAGGCAGGGGGACTGAACTGCTATTGGGCTTCATCCTTATGGGATTTTGACCAAATCTTGTCACATACATTACATTAGGACACCAGGGAACTATCTTAACTTTTCAAATAGAATATAATATGTCTCCTTTAAGATACACTGCCTCTGTTTTTAAATCAGAGAGTCAAAGGATGTGGAATGTTGATTAAGGGAATGCTGAATTATCTGTAGATCTCACATGATAGCATTTGTTTTTATTTATTGTAGAACAGCCTGGATTATTTTTATATGTTCTTCCATCATTGTGTTGGCTGATGGGACTTAAACCTGATTCCTGTAAGCTTGGTTTTAAGGGGCAAAATGAGGAGAAAGTTTGTGTTTAGGCAGTCATTCAGAAAAATCTACGAGTCTATTTTCTCTACAATAACCACAACCGGTAACATCAAATGGTCATGGACTAGAATATTACATTCTGTCTTTTAAAGGGATTAATGTTGGATTCATTCAGCAAATTTTCAAAGACAAAAAATCAGCATCTGTTACCTCTGAATATTCCTTAAGGTTTTGTCAAGCTGGGAAAGCTTAGTTTCAGTATTCCTGCTCTTAATAATCTCAATAATCTATCATCTCTTCCAAAAGAGCAAACAAAAACCAGTGTGTCTGTTTTCTTTTTTGTGCTTCTACCCATTGAGGATGTGCAGAGTTAGAAACAGTAAAACCGGAGTGTGCTTTGGCCCCCGTGTCAACATCCAGGTGTCGGAGGGCTTTCGGGAAACACCTTCATAACCCACATAACCCCAAAGCTCCGTGTTTTATAGCAGCCATGTGTCTTCCTCTGGTGCTTCCTCACCTTCCTACAACAGTTAGCATCAGGATTCGTTTCTCTGTGTGCGTTTATAGTAGAGAAGGCTAATCCCTTACAGTCAAAGAGGGACTCAAAGAGCTTATTTTGCCTTGCCGTGCTGTACAGGAATGTCTCAGAAAATTAGAATATTGTGATAAAGTTCTTTATTTTCTGTAATGCAATTAAAAAACATGAAATGTCATACATTCTGGATTCATTACAAATCAACTGAAATATCGCAAGCCTTTTATTGTTTTAATATCGCTGATTGTGGCGTACAGCTGAAGAAACCCAAATGTCCAATCTCAAAATATTAGAATATCGGATTTTTGAGTTTTCTTCAGCTGTAAGCCATAATCAGCTACATTAAAACAATAAAAGGCTTGCGATATTACAGTTGATTTGTAATGAATCCAGAATGTATGACATTTCATGATTTTAAATTGCATTACAGAAAATAAAGAACTTTATGACAATATTCTAATTTTCTGAGACAGTCCTGTAATATCCTAAAAAGCCAAAGCCTTTTTATTCTGGAATTAACAGCAAATATTGTAGTTTTATGCAGCATCTGATTCAGAAAGATGTAAAGAATCCCTGTAAAAACTCTGTTTGATAGTTCTTGGCCCACGTGGTCCATGTCCTCTGGGCGTGGCAGCTCCGGTCTAACTAAAATCCTGTTTTTTTTTGTCTTTTGCTCTGTATTAAAGGTGTATGACACTCCTCCCATGGTGGTGAAGGGTCCCTCTAGTGGTCAAGACATATACGACACCCCATCAGGTTCAGACAAGAACCCACAGCAAACTGTAAGTCTTTGCTCAACAGCCTAAAAGTTTAGATTAAAGATCTAGTGATACAATTAAATCTTAATAAATTCGATCTTCAATTAACTTAAAGATATTTCTATTATGTATATATATCATAAACCTATTACACACTATCCATGGGTAGTACGTGGTAAGATCAACATATATGTCAGTTGTCAATATGGAAAATGACTTATTTAATCATCTGTTTTTATTAAACAAATATTTGAACAATAATAGACAATAATAAGACAATAAGATAGCAATAATAGACAGCTAACCTCACATAGAATGAAAAGAAAGATTGACTGAAATTGTAATCTTCCCTTTTTTGGGAAGATTACAATTTCTTGAATAAATTTAAATAATTTATAAATTATTATACTAATATACTAATAAATAAGAATAGCACATTCTCACACACATCATCCATAACCATTAATCATCATAAGTTGTTGTTTGTTTTTTTGTTTTTTGTTTTTTATCAGTTATTGTTGTTATTTGTTTCTTATATTGTGTGTAAATTGTGGGACAGTGATTTTTATTTTTATTTTTATTTTTATTTTTATTTTTATTTTTATTTTTATTTTTATTTTCATTTTTATTTTATTTTATTTTTATTTTATTTTTATTTTTATTTTATTGCATTTTTTTAAGCACTGTTTTTTATCCACTGATTGATGGCACTTTTACATTTCGTTGTTCTTGTGACAATGACAATAAAGATTCATTCATTCAAAATGAGTGTAAAGCAGACGGATTTAAATGAATGCTAGCCTCGATACACTTCTTTTTTTTTTTTTTACTTTGTTTATTGAACATTTTGAACATAAGACAGACATTGTTGGGTCTATACAATCTCAATGTCACATTGCTGTCAACCCCCAATCCACCCTGACCGCCCACCCCCCCCACAGGCCAAAAAATAAATGAACAAATGAATAAATAAAAATAATAATAAAAAAAAAATTAAAAAATTAAAATGGTAATTAAAAAAATGTATAAATAAATAAAAAGTATAAAGAGAAAAAAAGATTTAAAAAAAAGGGTAGACATGAATGTAAATGTAAATAGATAAGTAGAGATCATGCTAGACATTCAAGTATCCTCAGGGTCAAGAAGATTCAAAGAGTCAAAATATCTAAGAAAAGGGTCCCATGTAGCCTGAAATACAGTGGGTGAAATAAGTATTTGACCCCTTGCTGATTGTTCAGGTTTGCCCACTTACAAAGAATGCTTATTTTTCCTCATCAGATGG